AGCATGCAACCAATATCACTCATATGCACAGTTCACAATAGGGTTTGTGCTTTGAGAATCTAATGCTGCCACTGACCTGACAGGTGGTGGAGCTGAGGTGGTAATGTGAGTGATGGGGAGCGGCTGTAAATACAGATGAAATTTCACTTGCACACTTGCCACTCACCTCCTGCTGTGCGGCTTGGTTCCTGGGGTTGGGGACTCCTGCTTTAGGCCATTCAGTGCTTTTTAAAATTTGGTCATGTTACTTTGTAGTTTTCAAAGTGCCATTTGTTTCTTTTTTACTTTTGTTTCTCTGTTGAGATTTTCTGTCTTTTTACCTCTTTGAAGAGAGTTCATCCTCTCAGAGAACAGTATAATAGCCACTTTAAAGCTTTTTTTTCTGGCTGTGTGTGGTGGCTCACACCTGTAATTCCAGCACTTTTGGAGGCTGAGGTGGCTGGATCACCTGAGGTCATGAGTTGGAGACCAGCCTGGCCAAGATGGTGAGACTCAGTCTCTACGAAAAATACAAAAAATTTGCCAGGCATGGTAGTGGGTGCCTGTAATCCCAACTACTTGGGAGGCTGAGGCAGAAGAATTGCTTGAACCTGGGAGGCGGAGGTTGCAGTGAGCTGAGATCATGCCACTGCACTCCATCTCAAATAAATAAATAAATGAATAAATGAATAATTAAATAAATAAATAAAATGAAATTTTTTTCTGATAATTTCAACATCTCTGTCTTCTTCTACTTGTCTGCTCTTGATTCTCATCTTTTGTGAGTTGTTGAGATTTCCTAGGTTCTTTATATGCCAAGCAGTTTTTGGATTATATCCTGGGCATTTTGAATATTAAGTTGTAAGTCTCTGGGTCTTGGTTAGATTGCAGGTTTGGTATTACTTTGAGTTCACCAATATCATTCTTAGCACATACTCTTCAGGGTCCTAAGATAGCTTTGCCATGAAGTCTGTCTAGAATTCTTAGTTGCACTCAGTGGGAGAAGCAGAGAAGATTATTCTTATTCCATTTTGTTTCAAGTAGAATTCTTGCTCATTTTTAAAATCTGAGTTTTTATTTTATATATATATATATACACACACAGGGTTTTCCTGTGTCACCTAGGCCTGAGTGCAGTGGTATGATTATAGCTCACTGCAGCCTCAAACTCCTAGGCTCAAGTGATTCTCCTGCCTCAGCCTCCTGAGTAGCTGGGACTACAGACATGTGCCACCACCTTTTTTGTAGAGATATGGTCACACTATATTTATCAGACTGGTCTCAAACTTCTGACCTCAAGTGATCTTCCTGCCTCAGTCTCCCAAAGTGTTGGGATTACAGGCATAAGCCACTGTACCTGGCTCAATCTGAGTGTTTAGTCTTTGTTATTGATATACAGGAATTTTTTATATAATAAGGATATGAGTCTGTTGTCAGGATGTGTATTGCAAATACTTTCAATCTGTAGCTGTTTTATTTCTTAATTGTATGTCTGTTGATGAGCAGAAATACTTGATTTTGACGAATCTAGTTTATCAATTTTTTCCTTTATTCTTAGTGGTTTCTTCTTTTTTTTAGATAGAGTCTCATTCTTTTGCCCAGACTGAAGTGCGGTGGCATGATCTTGGCTCACTGCAACCTCTGCCTCCTGGGTTCCAGCGATTCTCGTGCCTCAGCCTCCCTAGTAGCTGGGACTACAGGTGTGCACCACCATGCTGAGCGAATTTTTGTATTTTTAGTAGAGTTGGGATTTCATCGTGTTGCCCAGGCTGGTCTCGAACTCCTGGCCTCTAGCGATCCATCCACCTTGGCCTCCCAAAGTGCTGGGATTACAGATGTGAGCCACTGCACCCAGTCTCTTTATTCTTAGTCCTTTCCTTTCCTTTCTTTCCCTTCCCTTCCCTATCCCCTCCCCTCCCCTCCCCTCCCCTCCCCTCCCCTGCCCTGCCCTGCCCTGCCCTTTTTTTGTTATTGTTGTGACAAAACACATGTAACAAAATTTACCATATTAGCTATTAATTGCATTCAATTTAGTGGCATTTAGTTCACTCACAGTGTTGTGCAACCACTTTCTCTGTCTAGTTTCAGAACTTTTTCATCACTCCAAATGGAAACTCTTTAACCATTAAGCATTCACTTCTTATTTTATCTCTTTATTCCCCCAGCTTCCCAGCCCCTGGAAATTACTGCTTTGTTTTCTGTTGCCTGGATTTTCCTGTTCTAGATATTTCACAAAAACAGAATCACGCAGTATATGATCTTTTGTGTCTATGGCTTCTTTCACTTAGTACAAATGCTTTCAAAGTTCATCCATGTCATAGTATGTGGTAGTACTTTAGTTCTTTTTATGGTCTAATAATATTACATTATATGGATATATCACATTTGTTTATCTGTTCATCTGTTTGTATTGTTTCTGCCTTTTTTGCTATTATTGAATAATGCTTCTATGAACATACGAGTATCTGTTCGAAAACCTGTTTTCCATTCTTTTGTTTTATACCTAGGATGGGAATTTCTGTGTCATGTGGTAATTTTATGTTTAAGTTATTGAGGAACTGCAATACTGTTGTTTTTTTTTTTTCTTACAGTAGCTGTACCATTTACATTCCCACTAGCAATGTATGAAGGTTCCAGGTTCTTTATATAGTCACCAACACTTATTTTTTTTCCTCTCTTGCTCTTTTACTTCCTTTTCCTTCTCCTCTCTTCCTTTCATTCCTCATCCTAGTGGGTACGAAATGATATGTCATTGTGGTTTTGACTTGCATTTTTTTGTGTGTTTTGATATAAACTTTAGGGGTATTTTTCCTTCTTCTGGGAAGAATGTTATTTATATTTTTTATAGGGATTTTGGTGAATCTATAAATTTCTTCATTTAGTGTGGACATTTTAACAATGACATTTCAACAGCATTGATTCTTTTTTCATTTTTCCTTTTTTGTTCTTGAAGGAGATAAACAATATTGATTCAAACCATGACCGTGGAATATCTTTCCATTGTTTTGGCGTTCTCTAGTTTCTTTCATCAATGTTTTATAGTTTTCATTGTGGAGATCTTTCACTTTGGTTTGGATTTGCATTTCCTAATGACTAATGACATTGAGTGTCTTCTAATGTGCTTTTTGTCATTTGTGTAGTTTTTTTGGAGAAATATCTATTCACATTCTTTGCCCATTAAAATATTTTTGTCTTTATCTTACTGAATTGTAAGAGGTTTTTTTTTTGTTTTTTTTGTTTTTTTTAAATTTTGAACACTATACCTTTTTTCTTTTAAGAGATGGGGTCTTACTGTGTTGCCCAGGCTGGCCTGAAACTCTTGGCCTCAAGCAATCTTCCTGCCTTGGCCTTCCAGAGTGCTGGAATTACAGGTGTGAGCCACTGTGGTTGGCCTGGATACTGTATTTCCTCCCATTTGGTGGGTTGGTTGCCTTTTCACTATTCCAGTAGTGTTCTTTGATGAATAAAAGTTTGAAATTTTGCTGATGTCCAATTTATCATTTTTCTGTTGTCACTTGTGGTTTTTTGGTCATATCTGTGAAATCATTGCCAAATAGAAGTCATGAAAATGTACTGCTGTTTTTTTTTCTAAGAGCTTCATAATTTTAGCTCTTGTATAATATTTAGGTCTTCTCTCCATTTGAATCTATTTTTGAATATGGTGTGAGGCAAGGGTCCAAGTTCATACTTTTGCGTGTGGCGGTTTAGTTGTTCTAGAATTATTTGTTGAAAGTTTTTTTTTCTCCCATGAAAGGTTTTGGCATCCTTGTTGAAAATCAATTGTTGGTCCTAGTTATATGGGTTTATTTCTAGACTTTCAATTCTGTCCAATAAATCTGTATGTTTACCCTTTGCCAACATTGTTTTGATTACTATAGCTTCATAGTAAATTTTGAAGCTGAAATGTGAGTCCTCTAATTTTTTCTTGTTCTTCAAGATTATTTTGGTTCTTCTGAGCCTCTCGCAATTAATCGTCAGATCAGTTCGTCCATTTCTGCAAAACAGGCTGTTGGAATTTTGGTAGGGAGTGAATGGAACCTGGAGGTCACTTTGGGGAGTAATGCCCAACTGCTAACCAAAATAGTTTATATAGTTAGTAAAGTCTTTCAGTCCTCAATTAGGGGATGTCTTTTTCATTTATTTGGGTTTATTTATTTATTTATTTATTTAGCTCTTTCCTAAAATTTTCCATGTGGCAGTTCATAGGTAACTAACTTTAATATCTTTCAATTGTTATAAATGCAGTTACTTTAGAATCATAGACCCTATTTAACCTTCTTTTTTTTTTTTTTTTTTTTTTTTTTTTTTTGAGACAGAGTTGCGCTCTTTTTGCCCAGGCTGGAGTACAATGGCGCGATCTCAGCTCACTGCATCCTCCGCCTCCCGGGTTCAAGCGATTCTCCTGCCTCAGCCTCTCGAGTAGCTGGGATTACAGGCATGCGCCACCATGCCTGGCTAATTTTTGTATTTTTAGTAGAGACGGAGTTTCTCCATGTTGGTCAGGCTGGTCTTGAACTCCCGACCTCAGGTGATCCACCCACCTTGGCCTCCCAAAGTGCTGGGATTACAGGTGTGAGCCACCGCGCCTGTCCGTTAACCTTGTATGTAATAATTTTCATTACTTCCTTTAAATACATTCCAGATTTTAATAGCTGTTTAAGCTTTGGAATCTCAAAGTATTGGTTTTTTGATTAAAGTTACCTTGGTATTTTAAAATGTCGTCCTAGTATTTTTTGGTGGATTTACATTTCTGCATTAGCAAGAGAGCCAGATATTCCATAGATTGCACTTATTATTTTTCTCTGAACTACTATGTATTTGATTGTTTATAACAAATTTCCAAATAAAAAAGAACATTTTAAATGCCTCTTGTCATATTGATATGTTTATTATTAAAATTTCATTTTTTTCCTAGTGGGAAAGAAACCTAAGGAATAAAGTCATCTCTCTAGACCATAAAAATAAAAAACATATCCGAGGGTGTCCTGTCGCTTCCAAGTCTTCACCAGAAAGGTAAGATATGTGTGTGTGTGTGTGACATAGTGTGGGCTTGTCCTATAAAATGTGACCATAAATGATTTATTTTAGCTTGTTGTATCTCAATTATGACCACAATGTTTAAAATAGAAGGTTTCAATTCAGTAGCCTCTAAGATTCTTTCAGTCTCTTAACTTTCTGCGATTGTTAGTATCTTAACTCCCTTGTTTTTGTGCATTTGGAACATCTTGATAAGCTTTTGCTGATAATGCAAGAGTTATACATATGATGATTGACTCATTATTTGCGATCAGCAGTGAGAAAGGGTGCTCGGTTTCTTCTTCTCCTTTGTTTTTTAAAGGCTAGTCAAATGAAGCAGTGGGAATGGAGCAGAAACAAAGACATCTGCAACTTGTAATCAACTGGTTTTAGATACCTCTGTACTTGGGCCAGCCAAAAATGCTCCATTTAGCAACTATTGTCCTATAGTCACAGTGCTAACAAATTATTTGGGTAGGGGAATTAAATATCTGGAGGATTCAAATTACAGTTGTTACTGGAAATAATTTAGAGTATTTCAGAATTGGACATAAATCAATGATTAGAAAGTTGTTATTTTAAAAAGAGTATTGAATTTTCTTTTCAACATAGTGAATGAAAAAATGAGAATAGCAAATTATGATTATTGGAAAGTCACACAAATTTAGAAGAGTCAGTGGGGTCCTTGAATTTATGTCAAAGTACTTCTATAAACTACTTAGTCTACTTCTCCCTTTTCAAGTAAATTGTGTGTAGGAAATATAAACATATATTGGCGACTCCATAGCAGTTTATGAGCCTCTTGACATACCATACCATGGATAACTTGTCAAGGTGAATAAGGCAGGTCTGTTGATGCAATGATGATGCTTTCATCCTTAGAACAAGCACACATTCAGTATTCAGACTTGGTTTCCCAAAAAGATTTACATAAAAAAATTATACTTGGTTTGAGAGATGGAATGCTAGAAGTAAAGGAATGATAATTTTTAATTAATAAAGCCAAGCCACATTTTCTGAAAGGTTTGCACATACGAAGTTGTTTTATCTTATGGGAGACATATCCTGAAGACTTTGCATGCTTCAAAACATATATAATTCCCCTTTAGTTGCCGTCTTGCATCCCTGCATGTGTGTGCCTAATCTCAGCTGGCCCTCCTGAGACCCTGTGAGCACCAACCCTAATTCCCTGCATGTCCCCTTACCTGCTCTGACAGGATGAAAGAAACAATCATGAATCAGGAAAAACTTGCCAAACTGCAGGCACAAGTGCACATTGGTGGGAAAGGAACTGCTTGTAGAAAGAAGAAGGTGGTTCATGGAACAGCCACAGCAGATGATAAAAAACTTGAGCTGTCCTTAAAGAAGTTAGGGGTAAACAGTATCTCTGGTATTGAAGAGGTGAATGTGTTTACAAACCAAGGAATGGTGATCCACTTTAACAACCCTAAAGTTCAGGCATCGCTGGCAGCAAACACTTTCACCATTACAGGCCATGCTGAGACAAAGCAGCTGAGAGAAATGCTACACAGCATCTTAAACCAGCTTGGTGCAGACAGTCTGACTAGTTTAAGGAGACTGGCTGAAGCTCTGCCCAAACAGTCCGTGGATGGAAAAGCACCACTTGCTACTGGAGAGGATAATGATGATGAAGTTCCTGATCTTGTGGAGAATTTTGATGAGGCTTCCAAGAATGAGGCAAACTGAATTGAATCAACTTCTGAAGATAAAACTTGAAGAAGTTACTGGGAGCTGCTATTTTATATTATGACCGCTTTTAAAGAAATTTTTGGTTATGGATATGATAAAATCTAGATCTCTAATTTAAGCCCAAGCCCCTTGGACACTGCAGCTCTTTTCAGTTTTTGCTTATACACAATTCATTCTTTGCAGCTAATTAAGCCGAAGAAGCCTGGGAATAAACTTTGAAACAAAGGTGATTAAGGTTCTTTGCCTAGTAAAAAGCAAAAAACAAAAAACTTATATCATTCAGGCCGGGCACGGTGGCTCACACCTGTAGTCCCAGCACTTTGGGAGACCGAGGCAGGTGGATCACTTGAGTGCAGGAGTTCAAGTACAGCTTGGGCACCATGGCGAAACACCATCTCTACAAAAAACTAATAAAAGTAAAAATTAAAAAATACTTACTTAAATCTCACTTTTCCATAAGAATGCTTGTAAAGTGGTGGGCACAGGTTCTTTGGGATATCAATCAATAACTTTGTAACATATTGCTTTAATTTTGCCTTTTAGTTTTCTGGCATTATCACTAATATTTTTTTCAGTTTATTTTCTGCTAAATTGTCAGCCTAGCATAAAAAGATAATTGTTTGGCCTTCCTTATAGAATTTATGACATCTGACTTCTCTTCCAGAGTTAGTGATTTTCAGGCATGGTCACAGCATTAACATTATAACATCTATTTAATATACACTTAATGATATTGTTAGAGGATAAAAAGTTTTTAAAATTCAGTAGCAGTAGAAATTGAATTAAAAATACAATAATGAACCAAATCACCATATTTTTAATAAATAAAAAGAACAGTGTGGTTGACATGATCCTGACAAAGGAAAATGATACATTTTTAAATTGATAAAAGTGATGTAGCCAACAGGCATTAGTGTAATTAGTTTTATAGTTTACTCAGCCAATTTTTGAATAATAGAATGTGATTTTTGACAAATTTTTAAAATCTAGAGGGCTTTGTATTATTTCAAAATTTTATACTGAAGACGCATATATATGTCTTTTATATATATAACTAATTTATATTAATATATAATTAGTTCAAATTCACAATGTTAAAATGTTCATAAATTATTTCTGGGGGATGTATATGAATATTAAAAAGTAGAATTTAAAAATGTATCTCTGATGTGTGGTAGAAAGGACCTGAGTCATTTCCAAATCCTAGTTGTCTTAATCTAGGAGGGGGCATCTTGTCTATACTTCAGTTTTTCTCTACTGAAAGTTCTGGAGCTTTTGATTCTTAACCTTTTTCTGAATGTTCTGCTTCTAAAAGGTAGGTAAAATGGGATGGTTAGGATATCTAGAATATCTGGAAACTAAGGTGGGATGGAACATGATGAGTTGTTTAGATGAAACTGGGTTATGACAGTTAAGTTAGTAGGCACAGTTAGGAAGTGACTTTGTTCAAAACAACAGGAATGGGAAATTATGATGTATTTGCTTCACAGCACAAGGATTTTGTAAACTTCTCTTGGGCACATTATTTTTAGAAGAGAAACAGTTTGGTTTTTCTGTTTTAATGGGATTCTTTTTTCCTCTCTTGATCTCATTTTCACTATCAATGAGCTTACAGAATTTGTACCTACAGATTTAGGTCTCTTGTAGTGTAATTTTTTAAAATTTAAATTAAAAATTTAAATTAAAAATCAAATTGTGCTGTTCTTCCTACTCCACTAATTATTTGGTGTATCGGTCGTGAGAGTACACGAGCAATATCAGATTGGAACTGAAAATCCTCTATTATAATTATGGCAGCTAATATCTACTGAGTACTTATTATATGTTAGGCATTAGGCTAAGCCTGAACTGTCTTATTTAATTTTTATAAGTCTGTGAGATGTAAGTAGCTTTGGCCTTATCTCATATTGAGGAAATTTAGGCCTTCTTACTATAATGGAGAGGAATGTTATTAATGCATCTCTAGGAAACCTAGTCCAGTATTAACAGACTTAAATTTTTGTTTTAATAACATTGAATTCTTCTAGGCTATCTGAAACATTTTATAAATTGCTGCTGTGCAAAGGGAAGTCAAAGCAACAAAAATACAACTGGAGAGGGGGAAAAAGTTTCCATATGTTTGTATTACTTTGGAACTGCTGACTCTATCTCCTGTGTTTGATCTTACTTTAAAGATTGTAATACTTCTTAGTGCTTTTTTAAAAATTAAGTTTTATTGTGATACAATTTACACATCATCAAATTCACCCATTTTAATTCAATAATTCAATAATTTTTAGTATATTTACAGAATTGTGAGCCATCACTACAGTCTGGTGATGGTTTTAGAACATCCCATCATGCAAAGAAACTGCTCTTTTGCAACCATTTTATATTCTCACCTACAACTGTAAGCAACCACTAACCTTATAAGATTTGATTTTTTGGACATTTCATATAGACAGAATCATACAATATGTTTGTTCTTTTTCATCTGGCTTTCATCGAGCATAATATTTTTGAGGTTTGTTAATATTGTAGCATATATCAGTATTTCATTTCTTTTTACACCACATTGTGTTTATTCACCAGTTGGATTTTTATGTTGTTTCCACTTCTTAGCTATTATGAGTAATGTTGTCATAAACATTCCTGTACAAGTGTTTGCAGGTGTTTGTGTAGACGCATGTTTTCTTTTTTCTTTTTCTTTTTTTTCTCTTGAGATGGAGTCTCACTTTGTTGCCCAGTGGTACATTGGTGGAAAACACTTTGCCCAGTGGTGCAGTGGTGGAAAACAGCTCACTGCAGCCTCGACCTCCCAGGCTCAAGCGATCCTCCTGCCTCAGCCCACCAAGTAGTTGGGACTACAGACATGCATCATCATGCTTGGCTAATTGTATTTTTAGTAGAGATGAGGTTTTGCTCTGTTGCCCAGGCTGGTCTTGAACTCTTGAGCTCAAGTGATCTGCCCACCTTGGCCTCCCAAAGTGCTGGGATTATAGGTATGAGCCACTGTGCCTGTCCTAAGACATATATGTTTTCATTTATCTTAAACGGATAACTAGGATTAGAATTGCTGTGTCATGCATTAATACTGTTTAACTTTTTGAGCAACTGCTGAACTTTTTTCAAAATGACTGTACAATTTTACATTCCCACAGCACTGTATGAGGGATTCATGTTTTTCTGCATCCTCACCAGCAGTTATCTCCTTCCATCGTTCCTTCCTCTTTCTTTTTTCTTTTCTTTTCTTTTGTTTCCTTCCATCTTTCATCCTAGTGAGTGTGAAGTGGTACCTCATTGTGGTTTTGATTGCCATTTCCTAATAACTAAATGATGTTGATTGTCTTTTCATGTGCTAATTGGTCATTTGTATGTCTTTTTGAGAATTGTCTAATCAGATCCTTTGCCCATTTTAAAATTGGATTATCTTTTTGTTGTAAGAGTTAAAAAATATTTTCTGGGTACAAGTCCCTTATCAGGTATATGATTTTCATATATTTTATCTGATACTTTTGGCAAGTTTCTCACTCTCTTGATGGTGTCCTTCGAAACATAAAAGATTTTAAGTTTTGATGAAGTCCCATTTATCTATTTTTCTTTTGTCTCTGTGCTTTTGGTGTCATATCTAAGAAACCATTGCCTAATCCAAGGTTGTGATCCTTTACTCCTGTGTTTTCTTCTAAGAGTTTTATAGTTTTAGCTTTTAGATTTAGGTCTTTGATCCATTTTAAGTTAATTTTTAGGTATGGAATGAAATAGGCACCCTAATTAATATTTTTGCCTTTGGATATTCATTTGTCCCAGCACCATTTGTTGAAAAGACAATGGTGTCTCTTCATTATTTTCCATTGAATTGTCTTGGAATCTTTGTGAAGTATCAGTTAGTTGATAGTAAGTGTTAGTGTTTATTTCTAGATTCTCAGTTCGCTTCCGTTGTTCCATATGTCTGTCCGTATGCTGGTGCTGCCATGTGCTATTGCAGCTTTGTAGTAAGTTTTGAAATTGGGAAGTGTGGGTCTTACAACTTTTTTTTTTTTCAATATTTTTTGGAGCCGTTCTGGGTTTCTTGCATTTTCAGTTGAATTTTAGAGTCCCCTTGTCATTTAAAATAAAAAACCAGCAAGGATTTTGACAGAGATTGTATTGAATCTGTAGACTAAATTGGGGAATATTGCCATTTTAACAATATTGTCTCCAGATTAATAAACATGGGATGTCTTTCCATTTATGTCCTTTATAATTTTTTTCAATAGTGTTTTGTAGTTTTCAGTGTGTTTTTGCCTTTTTTTGGTTAAATTTATTCCTAAATACTTTCTTATTTCTGAAGCTATTATGAATGGAATTGTTTTCTATTTTTAGATTTGTATTTATTTATGTTTTTGAGACAGGATCTTGTTCTGTTGCCTGGGGTGGGGTGCAGTGGCATGGTCATAACTCATTGTGGTCTTGACCTCCTGGGCTTAAGTGATCCTCATTCCTCAGCCTCCAAGTCTCTGGGACTACTGGTGCATGCCACCACGCTTGACCAATGTTTTGAATTTGTAGAGATTGGGTCTCATTGTGTTGCCCAGGTTGGTCTTGAACACCTGGTCTCAAGCAATCCTCCTTCCTTGGTTTCCCAGAGTATAGTATTATAGGGATGAGCCATTGGGCCTGGAATTGGTCTCTTCATTCATTTCCTCTTGGATTTCCAATTTTTAAGCACATAGTTGTTCATATTAATAGTAGTGTCTAATGATCCTTTGTATTTCTATGGTATCAATTTTTATGTCTCACTTTTTGTTTTCAATCTTGTTGGGGTCTTTCTTTTTTTCTTGGTTGGTCTAGCTCGTGGTGTATCAGTTTTATTTTTTCAAAATGCCAACTTTATGTTTGATCTTTTTTTAAGTCTTCATTTTGTTTATTTCTACTCTAATCTTTACGATTTCTTTCCTCCTACTAATTCTTGTTATGTTCATTCTTGCTTTTCTAGTCCATTGAGGTTCATTGTAACCACTTTTTATTTGAAATCTTTCTACTTTTTGATATAAGCATTTATTGCTATGCATTTCTCTCTCAACACTGCTTTTGCTTGTCCATAGATTTGGTATGTTGTGTTTCTGTTTTCATTTCTTTCAGGAAGTAAAACAAATTTTTTCTTTTAATTTCTTCAGACCTAATGGCTGTGGAGCGTGTTGTGTAATTTCCAGGGGTTTGTACAGTTTCCAGCGTTCCACTTGTTACTTGATTTCTAGTTTTATTCCAATGTGGTCTGAGGAGATACTTTATATGATTTCAGTTTTTAAAAAGTTATTGAGATTCATTTTGTGTCCTATCATATGATCTGCCCTGGAGAATGTTTCTTGCACTGGTGAAATAATGTGTATTCTGCAGCTCTTGGATGAAATGTTTTGTAAATGTCTGTTAGGTCTATTAGGTCTATAGTGCAAATTAAACCTGATGTTTCTTTGTTGATTTTCTGTCTAGATGATCTGTTTAGTGTTCAAAGAGAGTGTGTTAGTCCATTCTCACATTGCTATAAAGAACTACCTGAGACTTTATAATTTATAAAGAAAGGAGGTTTAATTGGGTCATGGTTTTGCTGGCAGTCCAGGCTTCTGCTTCTGGGGAAGCCTCAGGAAACTTACAGTCATAGCAGAAGGTGAGGAGGAAGTTAGTGCATTGTACATGGCTGGAGCAGGAGAAACAGAGAATGAAGGGGGAGGCACTACACTTTTATAAATAACCAGATTTCGTTAGAACTCACTCACTATTAGGAGAACATCAAGGGGGAAATTGTCCCCCATGATCCAGTCACCTCCCATAAGGCCCCTCTTCCAACACTGGGGGTTACAATACGACATGAGATTTGGGTGGGGACACAGACCCAAACCATATAAGAGGATGCTGACTTTCCAAACTATTATTGTATTGAGGTCTGTTTTCTTTTTTAACTCTAATAATATGTACTTTATATTTCTGTGTGCTTTGATGTTGGGTGTATGTATTCATTTTTTTAAATTTTATTTTATTTTTATTTTTTTTATTTTTTTGGGTG